GATATGCACATCTAAGATACGAGATGCTTCCGATCAATTTATATAAAGCTATATATAGTTATTAGACATTTTAGGTAGGTGTGGTGAAACCTCTATTTGTAACTAGGTTATATATATAGTTATTAAACACTATGTAAATACAGCATATCCTCTATGGAGCTATACAAAGTTACTAAGGATATGATTCACATTCACGACACCTTTTATTTACAATTGGTTTCTCTAGAAGTAAATGTTTATAACTAATTTATTTATTTATAGATTTTTTAAGCCATTAAACATGCATTTTTTCGTTTAGACCAAACCACATTAGGTTATCTGCTGTGTCCACTGCGGGATATCGAACCTTGGATTTTAGCGTTGTAAGTCTATAAACTTACCGCTATCCTACCAAAGGATGAAAGAAACAAACATAGAAAAGAATGTTCTTAACTAATTATAAAAAGTAATTTGTTATAACTCATTATGTAATTGTATAGTGACATATTTTGTTATACTAGTTCATTAAAACAACTTATTTAGTAAAGTAATTATATAAGTTATAAGCCGAACAGAGAACATTGATCTCGGACCTCAGTTTACAAGTCATCAGAAACTCCTTAATATTAGGTTTTGTGGCCTTAGACAAGATCTTAAGCAGTTTAGAATGGACAGGTACGTCACATTCTCCTTGGGCGTGAGTGAATATGTTAGATTTAACTGAAGACCTAACATTAACTATTTCTTGGTGCCACCAATGAAACCCCGCTGACAGCAGTGTCAAAATAATTTATACACAACAAAATAAGATTGTTGTGATGACATTCTTTAGTTCACCTTTAATGATCAAGGTATATTTACCCATATAAAATAAACTAATAACCACAATATTTTCAGGTACGTCATAAACACAAGATGTAAGTACACTTCGCTTATTACTAATAAAGGTATTCAGTTGAGTCTAACATACTCACTCATACCATAGGTGAATGTGACGTATTTATCAATCGTAAACTGTTTAAGATCTTGTCTAGGGCTAATGACGAACACAATCTCGTACTAAGGAGCCTGCCGATTTATACACTGAGGTCCGGGGTTAATGTTTATAACTTATGGTAAAATTTTAAAATGTAACTACTTGTTTGTTGAATTTTGCGCTAGCCGTCTCTTGTGGTAGACTGGCGATAAAGTTGCTAGTCAACATCGCCCACGGCCAACTCTTGGGCTACTGTTTTTCCAACGAATAATGAGATTAATCGTTACATTATAACACAATTATAATGGAAAGGGAGGGCAAGTTCGGCGACGGATTACAATCCCACGACCCTTAGCGAGCGGAGCACCCTAATCACGAGGCTATGCCACGCCTAGGTAAGGAAATTAAAGTAATAAACAAATCTGTAACTTCTAAATTTCCAAATTGCAGTTAATAAAGAATTAGAATATAATTTTTTATCACCAGATGAAATCTAGTGCAGTCTTTATATCCACATATATAGTATTTGAAGTGTAGATTGTTTCAATTGTTAAATGTGTTGTATCCATCTCAAAACATAAATTTTAGAGATATTCGAAGGCTTAATTTTACAGTAAATATCAGTACTATGTAACACCACATTTCATATGTCAAGCCTTTATCCTCGAGATGGGTTTTTGACAAATAGGTTGGGCAACAATATTGTATCAAACATGACAAGCCCCCCATCCCAATGGCACAGCGGTATGTTTGCGGACTTACAACGCTAGAATCCAGGTTTCGATACTCGTGGTGGGCAGAACACAGATAGCTCATTGTGTAGCTTTGTGCTTAATTACCAACAAACAAACATGACAAAAACACTAGCTTACTATTTACCAGCGTGCTTCATAATATGCAGACAGTGACATCTGAAACAATGTTAGATATACAAAAATCTAACTTGGATATATAAATTTGTTTGAGCTTTTGATTTTCAAGTAAACTTTTGTTAAAGTGCTTGACCTTTGCATAAATTATTCAATAATCAAAGAGTGTGTTAGCGACAGTTATATCTTCAAATATCTTCAAGAAACTAAGTGTTGTATCAACTCAACTGATAGATGTGTCACGCGATTCATTAAGACAACGAATTTACAAACGTATATATCTCGAAACACAGAAACATAGTAATGTATATCACAGGTTTCCGTGTCTTGATATGCTGTCAGTATAACCTACCATGTTGAAAACTGTTAATACGTAAGCCGTTATACTGTCGGCACCATGTTTTTTTATCATTTCCTGATCCACTACAACCAATGTCTCTAGATACCGGTGACGATTTTCGTCGTGGTTGTTTGTTTTGTTAGCTTGCAGCTCCCTTTTACGTCGTGTTCGTAAGGGAAACTCTTTAGGCAACCAATGATTTCTTTTTCTTGGTTTTCTTGGCATATCTAAGGGAAGAAAATATTGAAGAATGAGCTCAATTTGAATCCTTCTATATTCAGCTATGTGCAAGGTAAAACTAGTTGTACTTACATTCTTTCTTTCGTCCACAATAGTAGGTTTGGGGTTTCGTGTGAGCAATAGGTGCAATAGAACCCAGATTGTCACTGACGGACCTCTTGGATAGTTTGTGAACCATGCCTCTACTTCTATATGATGTGTTACGATTAAAATGGACGTTCTTCTCTTGTAGGGGCTCGATTAGGAAGTTCCCATCTCTTGTCTGGATTAAACCTCGCTAAAATATAACAACAAGCACGTCATGTGCCAATTAGTCAATTTTCGGACAAAAAATCTTTATTGACAACTTAGCTCCTCAATACGATTTCATGAAAGATGTATGACACAGAAATAAAATGATAGAAAGTATTATAGATGATCTTTTTATAAAAAGAATGATTTCAGTTTATTTTTGTTTTAACTAGTGGAAGTTTAATAGTGTTCAAATTACAAAAACTTTTTCCAACGTCTAACGTGAACGCCTTTAAACTGTTAAACAAAAATTAGCGAATTAGTATTTAAATGCTGTGTATTTAGCAAATATTTCCTAAATTAAAGTGAATAACCGTGATATGGTCGTATATTCTTATTTTCACAAAATACCACTAGTTTAGCCAACCGCGTCGAATTTATTTTCTGTTCAAATTGCTCACCAGTCCATTACAGACATTCAAAGCTATTGTTGATGATTCTTCTTGTTGCTTTACTCGTCCTGAATACAAACAGTTTCGAACTTCATCACTTGGGGTTTCTGTAGACAGCTTATGTTGCTTGTTACTATTGAGTTTGTAAACTTTGAAACCAGGACCTAAAAACACAGTTGAAGGAACGACTTCTAGGTGAAGTTGTTGACCAAATCCTGTGATAGAATAGAATACCTTGGAAGTGCCATTGTCTGTTACTTGTCGCTTTGTTCTTGTTAAATCAAGATCATAAACCTCAAAAGGATTGAGTTGATGAGTTAAGAAATTTCCTTCGCCATCAACTTGTTCAGGAACAACTATTTCATAATCTGCAAAACAATGACAAAATCATTGTAGAACTTGCTTACACCATAAAATATTAACATTTAATCAAGGAAGTAACTTTAATAAGATGTTTGTGCAGGAATATTACTTGCAGTAAGTTAAGTAACTAAGAACATATTTAACAGAATGTTCGATTTGGAGTGTTAACAAGGTCTCGTTACACGCGAAATAAATGAGTCATAATGAGTTAGTCCAAATTCTCGTTCATAACAAATTCTAGCATCAAATGTAAAAATAACTAACTACTACATAAGCGCGGGCGCGCTCGCACGTGTACTTGGTAGTTAACTCTAAGAAATGGGTGTTTGTCGGTTATAAAACAAGTGAAAGTAATAAAAAACAGAAGATTTTCTTGTGACATTTGTGCAGTAAATTAAGGTACTTAGCAAAGTTTTTTTACGTATTGTAGTATGAAAGTCACGAGTGTTCTGCAAAATTTAAACTTGCACATAATTTGCGTCAAAATAATACCAAACAGTTGCCAGTGACAGTTTCTCAGGCAATTCACGCAATACAGGAAATTAGATGATTTACTGAACCTGAGTGATGCATATACAACGTTTGGATTAAGCTACCAATTCAAATACTTCAAGGTCCAGGCATAGCCTACAATAATTTAGTATTACTGCTTAGATGGAGAACAACTAGTCTGCGGAATACGCCATCCCCATCGTTTGTCGAACAGCAGGATTGACTATTACCGTTATACCAACTCGCATTGCTAAGAGTGAACACGTTCAGCAGTATATCACGACTCGAACCTTGGATGCTTTCCAACTTGTAGCCTGTTACGCTAACTATTAAGTCAAGAGCGGCTTCATGCACAACATAAATTTTTCTTAATAATGTTTTATTGAAAATTATTTCATAAGTATACGTTGCATGAATTTCATTCGGAATCGCTTAAGCCTAATGTCGTGGAAAATTCCTGTGAATAATTTTTTCTTTCTAATAAAAACTTTAAGAAATATGTTTTGGAATAAAGACAACAGAATTAGCCAATGGCAAAATGTGTATGAAAACTTAAATCCATAAATAAGGATGGGAATATCCGAACGTCTTCTGAAATAATAGCTTAATTCTTTACTGCCTATTTTCAAATATACATCTTCATTGTTATGTAGTTTATACATTTAGTTTTCTAGTTTTCTAGTCGTACATTAGCAAAACATCGATAAATAACCATCTCTGAAACGCATTTTAGGAATAGATATGTGATGAAGTCAGAATAAGCTGAAAATTATATAGTAAAGAACAAATGGAAGTAAATATGAAAAACCATCTTTAAAATTTTACACATATATGTTTGTTTTCTGGAGTAATTAAGAAGCACATTGACAGGTAAATAATTCAGAAATGGAGAGGTATATAATTTGTTTGTAGCTTGTGTTTATGGCAAAGGAAAATAATTATTAATGGTATGTAATGAGGTGTTGTAATACTACTATGTTAACTGCAATATAATTAGCCCTATATAAGACAGCACTATGTTGTAGCTGCTCCCAAATCATCTAAATAATGGTACAGTATCCAGGTGAAGAACAGTTTTTAGTAGGATCCTACTGTACGGAGAGTGCTACCAGAATGCCCTGGCTGCTGCCAAATTTATACCAAACAGTTTTTAGATTAGCATCATTCTTCATAACAGATGATAGAAAATGCCTGTCAGCAGCTGCGTACTACAGGCTTATTTACGCAGAGACTCCATGCTGGCAGACTAAGAACATCAACCAATACTGGCAATGAATGTACACACTATCAGGATTCGTCATATTCGGATAACGCAATGAACGTAAATATTAATTGTCTGCCACACATTCGTAAGGCGTTAAGATGCTGTCCTGATTTGCATTCATGTCTAACTGTAACTGATGTGGAGGGTGTTTGGTAAGATTTTGTTTAAAATGTTTATTTTGTTATTGTCTACGCCTTTACAATTCACAGGACCTCAGTGATATGTCACAGAGTAAGCCCATAATACTCCATTCCATAACCTCTAACCAAGATTTGTCTGTATCTCTTCATTTCTGAATTATTTGCCTGTCTATTCATGGATTTCTGAATCACTTTGTATGTAAATAAGTAGAGGAATATGGGGAGACAAATTAGTCTTGTAGATTCAAAATAGTTTAGCTTACCTGGTAATGGATCTGTCGATTTTTCGCTGTTTTCTTTTTGCTGTGAAGACAGGTAGTCTTCTAAAGCCTATATGAAATTTAAAGAGAAAAAAAGAATATGTTACTATAAAATGCAACACACCTCTCACTGAGACCAACTAACTCAACTCTTAACATATTTCTCACTGAGACCAAGTAACTCAACTCTTAACATGATAGCTAAGTCAAAAAGAATGAATCCAGACAAATGGGCATGTCATGTGACTTAAAACAGAAAGGCTACTTTCCTTGGTGTAACTTTGATTTATAAAGAAAACTTCAGGTATTATTCATTGTGAAAGAATATTTGAGAAGTCATATTTTCATCACTTGTTTGTTTTTGATATGTTAATTTTTCCCTAAAAGCTAAACCATTGAGAATTTTTTATTGAAAACCAAACAAATTATTGACTGTTAATATCTGGCTAAATAAGCAAAACGTGTTCTGATGGCACAGACTGTTAATTTCATCAACAGCCAACAGTTTATTTCGAAACATATATAATATCGATTTCCTGTATTTTATTTGATTTCTAGTACTGCGTGGAATAATAAATATACAAATAAAAAATACTGCACAGTGCAAATATGCTATCGAAACAGGCTAGGTTAGAGTATACCATGTAAAAGGGCACAATT